ACATGCCTGAGTGTGTACGTTTGTGTGTGTGTGTGTGTGCGCGTGTGCGTGTGTTTGTGTGTGTGGCCTAACCTGGGGCAGGCTCTGGCTGATGCAGCTGCGACAGAGCCGATGGAGGGTGAACATCTCTGAGCAGGAGTCAGTGACACCGCACCAGTGGGTCCTTTGTGTCCTCTGTGTCCTCTGTGTCCTCTGTGTCCTCTGTGTCCCAGCAGAACTTCTCACACCACATTACTACCAAAAGGGTGTTTCTATCACGCTGAAAGACTTGAATTCAGGTTTTGCTCTTTCAGTTTAGTCCTATTTACAATATATTCAACAATTGTAAGAACTCAAGTATTTATTTGTAGTTAGGCAATGATTTTACCTTTATTTCATTGAAATCGTAATTGTGCCGGATTAGCTACTGTATGTAGGCTGATTTTTCAAACACAATTTTTACACCAATAAAACATGCAATTATGGTAACTTAAGGCTTCTGAATTTAAAGATAATCTTTTGTCCGGTTTAGTTTTTTATGATTAAGATTATCAACATTTGATTAATTAATTAACTAATTGTATTAGTTACAATTACCAGACTAATCGCTGCAACCTGATTTATGAACCACAATGACTTGTTTCATGATGTTCCTGACAATTAAAAAAATGTTGGTTATTTGATGAAAGCTGCAACTTACCTCACGGAGGAATGGATTGTGGTAATTCAAGTTTCTAGTTCAAGTTTGTTAACTAGGCAGAAATGTCTTCAAACCCTTAGAATATTCTTTGTCAAATAAATCCATAATACTGAAACATACTTCAGTCTGGAATAAACGGCTGAGTTCAAGTCATTTGAGAGGTTCCATTGCAGCGGTGTTCAGACGGGTAAATGTGCAGTGGGAGAGAAGCAGTGTGGGAACAGGAAGTGATGCGGACACAAACAGGGGCTGCTTCCTGACGATAGGCCTTCCTCTGCACACCCTCACCTCCACACACACTTTATGTTTGGGATGTGGTCCCAAACAGTGGGACTGTGGGGGAGGCAGGTGCCCCAAGACTGGATCATCTTCACCAGGGGCCTCAATTCTAAAGACCTCTGTGCCAAACGCTGTTTTTACACTTGTGCTTGAAGATTACACACTCAGGCAGTATATTTTTGTTTTGAACGATAGCACTTGGTGCCTTATAAAAACGATCATCAATGCTATATGAATAAAATGTCTTCTTGTTCACCGTGAAACACATTGGTTCGAAAACACCAGAAGACTTTCTCGTTTGCTGTCGTTGTGTCTTTGGGCAAGACACTTAACCTCTGGGAACACCAGCCACAGTGGGGCGGCTGCGGCTGTAAAGTGCCAAACTGTTGTGTCCTCAGGCAAGACACTTCACCCACATTGCCTAGAATGAGTCTGGTGTGTGTGTGAATGGTTGGTGGTGGTCGGAGGGGCCGATGGCACATACTGGTTGCCTCGCTTCTGTCAGTGTGCCCCAGGGCAGCTGTGGCTACAGTAATAGTTTATCACCACTGTGTTTGGAGTGAATGAATAAGGACATGTAAAGCATCTTTGAGTGTCCAAAAAAGCGGTATATAAAACCAATGCATTATTATTATTTGTATTATTATTATTATATAATTATTCACATGAAAAAATATTTTAAAAGAAAGCAGAAAGAAAAAAGGGATTGGTTGAAGGGGAAGAGCTTATTAGCCCAATCCCCTCGCAGCCATTCTACATATACTACAATACAACTCAAAACAACAACGTTTGAGATCTCTACAGACCAACCACTAAGACCAGATCTTGACCAAAACCAGGCCTGTACAAAAATTAGATCCGCTTAAAACCAGACTGAGACCCATACCGGATCAAGACCACACTCAAAATCAAACTTGGACCAAACCCACAACCAGACACAGGACCAAACCCAGACTGAGACCAGACAACTTTTACCTCAAATACTATTTGGTAGTAACATTCATACTTCAAATACGCCCAATTCTTCTTCTTCTACTGGGTGAACCCGCTGTTCACCAAGATACTGGTGGAAATACCTTCAGATCTGTGTTTCTGACTTCTTCATTGGGGGGAATGACGCGGGGCTCCACTTGATCAAAGTACATACACACAATACACGTAGATCCTCTTCCAAACTATAATAATTACGTGAGGAATTGCTTGTCATTTCTCAGTGAAAATACATGATATTGGTTAGAAATCCTTCAAACGTGAAATCCTCATGTGAAAAAAATGCAATGAGATGATTCTTCAAAATGGTTAAGCTCTATATCAGCGCGCTCTCTTGTAATTACTGGTGAATGAGTGAACTGCGATGGGACACAGGTGCAGCTATGCAGAACAGAAACCCACAGAGAGCTGCTTTTCAGAGCTCCACATGGGACCTGCTTTACTGTCCTGTCCTGTTCTACACTGCTCTGCCCCACCCACCAATAAAGGTCAATAAAAATTAAAAGGAACAACTGTGGCTGGTCTCAGATAGTAGAGGGTTTAGCCGGTCAGGCAAACGAACAACTCTATCCATGAGGTCTTATTATTAAAAAGCTATACATTGACAATAAGGTCAGCATAGCAAAGCCGTTCCTTTGTTTACAAGTAGTTTCACAGGGCTTAATGGAGGAAGTTTTAGATGTTGAATATTAGAGCAGCAAAGTGGCAATCGCTTGAATGTATGGTTCTGCTTTTCATAGGCCCAGTTTTTTATGTCATTTTCCCACTACAGTTTCTTGAGCTCTTAAGACTCTCAGAAAATCTGGCCACCATGGCCTTCACTTTGGAGCTGTTTTCTCACCCTGCACGGCTTGGAGATGAGGAACTGAAATATTCATTAGTGAGTGAAAGTTTGATGAGCCTGAGTGAGTGGGAGGGCCTTAGGGGTCATCGTGACTTAGATCACTGGTGTCTAGTGTTAGAGAATGGGGCAGTTTATGGTGGTAAGAATCTTTAGGTGTCTTGGCTGTGGGAACTTAGAGCTGAGGGAAAATAGGGATGAGGAACATACAGCATGTTCCCCGTTACATGTGCTTACACGTTTGCATAAACTGGACTGAGAACCCGAGTTTACTCACTAATCCAAGTATTGGAATAGCTGGGTTTTTTTAATCAATTCTCTCTCCTCACATGTAAACGCGATGCACAGATTGAAAAAAGACATTTGCAAACTCCTTTCACCAAGACTAAGTGCAGCTACCACACAAATAGCATAGTATTGGGTTACATATGTAACCAAACAACCCAATAAATAACTTAAGTTATGTGTGATATCGACTTCAATAACCCCTACAGTACGCACAAATTATACGCCGAGTCTGGAGGTGGTATAACATTTACGCCCATCTCAACCAAAAGTTGTTTTTTTTTTTTTTACGTAGCTTACGTAAAAATTGTAAGCTACGTTTTCATTGAGCATCACATTTCGAAATTTGAATTTGCACATCAGAAAAAGTCTAATGGAAATACACAAATTTCAAATAAATCACAGTTCATGATGAGGACCCTCTTCTGACTTGTGTGTATTATTTTCATCTGTATGTTTTTTAAAATGTGAAGTGCTTAGTGATCCTGGTCTGTGAAAGGCGCTATACAAATACACGTAACTTACTTACTTACACACAGGAATGTATGACCCATCTATGGGTCTGTAAATCTGTGGCAGGCCCTGCACTGCGTAATTATGCATGGCTATTTGTTTTGCCTCAGTCACATCTGGCAAAGCAAAGTGTTTTATCTTGAGTTTTGTGCATAAAGCCCCATAATCACACCGATGGTCTTGCTCACTCAAAACTGTCTCAGCCACTGCCCTCGTGGGAACGAGCTCACGGGCAGTGGCTCTCTTGGGAAGTGCATAGCGGGTGCCACAGAGGTCCTACCGCAAAACTCCTCAAATGTGGTGCGTGTCATTCAGACGTTATGGATGCAGAGTTTCTCTGTGAAATCCTGGACTCTTCCCAAAAGCTTCTCATACGCATCCTTTCTCAAATGTACAGCGCTTCATTGCATTCACAAAAAGATGGCACAGACGCTTCACCCGGTTCATTCATTCATTCATTCATTCATTCATTCATTCACTCACTTATAAAGTTCAAGAGAGATGATTGCTGCAGTGGGTCTAGACACTAGGGGAAAAACGCGTGTGTATAATATAGCGTATATTTCTTTTTAAACAAAATAATAAAATAAAACTCAATATAAAGTCTGGAGTAGGAGTCACTAACAGGCCTTTTGAGGCTTCCAACTAGTCTTGCTGGCCGACTTCCATGCTGAAACGGGACGTGAAACAGGCGGTTTCTGAGTATTTATAGGCATGACTTTCATAAATACGCTAGTTTTCAGCGCAGCATTTACTAACAGCCACGGCTGCGTAGGCTCAGATCTGGGTGGATCTCACACATTCATAAATCCCACGTTGGGATTGCGTATTTGGAATCTACACCAAAAATATACACCCTTTTCACCGCAAGTTTCATAAATGAGGGCCATTGTGTTCAAGCCCGGGGAACTGAACGCCTGTTTACGCTACTGAAATCCCACCCCCCATCTAATTTAATTTCAATTGAGCAAGAAGCATGGATATAAACAACTGCATATTCACTAGCATGTAACCACGTATAGAGGATCCTACTGAGACAAGGCCAGCAGATGCACAGGGAAAAGCCAAGGTTATATTACAAATGTATGTATTATGGATACATTTTGGCCAACACATTTGTACTTTATGAAAAATTACATGTTCCTCTACATGTGTTTTTGCTTTGTTTTGGTTTCGTTATTTGAAAATGCAAAAAGGAAATGACTCGCTACAGTTTAGCCTGTGTGAGAATCAAATGATCAAAGTAACAAGATCTTGCATGATTACATTTTCCAAAACGTGACAATATGACAGCAATTTTAACATAATCCACATTCTTTGTAAACATACAGTATGCATAGAGGATCCACTAATAAAGCACAAAGTGACACCCTTAGAGATTCTTTAGCCTTAGTATAAAAAATATGAAAATACCTGGTGGTGAGTCGCATCTGGTCTCTCTGGGTTAGAGCTGACGTTGGTGTTGATTTTTGCGGAGTTGTAGAGATTGAAGTTGGCTGGTTCTCTGGGCACACTGGTTTGAGTAGAGTTGAAGACATTAGGATCAGCTGGTTCTCTGGGCAGACTGGGTTTAGCAGAGTTGTAGAGATTGAAGTTGACTGGTTCTCTGGGCACACTGGTTTGAGTAGAGTTGAAGACGTTGGGATCCCTGGCACTGGTCTTCATGCACTTGGAGAAATTTGAGTTGGCTTGTTCTCGGGGTGCATTAGTTTTGGCAGAGTTGTAGACTTTGGTTGGGGCTTGTTCTGTGGGTGTTGCGCGTCTCACCTCTTGGGGCTCCGTCTGACCTCCAGGCTCGGCAGGGTTGGCACACAGGGGCTCAGCTGCGAGTAAAAAGCCGTCATCGTCAGTGTCTCTGTATGCATTGTCTGACGGCCACAACACGTTTCGCCAGAACATGCTGCACCTTCAAAAACCCAGATATATCCAACCGACCAAGATATGTCGTGATCACATTAAAATCGCTACAGTTATTGAGCAAATTTTCTTCACAAACATCAAATCTTCTTGTATTTCACAGTAAAAAATTGCATATGGTAATCTTGTTTTCTCTTGTTTGAGAATTGGGGTAAAATACACTCAAAATGCTTCTACAATGAAAATCAGTCAAATTTTAAAGTCGTTTAAAAACTATCCAAACATGAAATTGATAAACCTTTCCAAAAAAAAAAATCTGTAGGGCAATAGAAGGTGTAAGGGATGAATGCAAGGTTGAATTAAGTTAAATACATCAAATTATAATTTACACTAACCCTAACACTTTCAACATGCAAAAACTGTATTTTACTGAATGTTCAGATTTTGTAAAAAAAAAAAAAAAAAAAAAGTTTACTTATAAATCAGTGTTAAGAGATGTTTTTGTGAATTAAGTTCATGCTGCAGTCTTTACTCAAATGCCAGCCAGAGTAAACGTTATCCTGCAATCACAACATAAAATGTATCTGAAACATCCCAATTTGTAGAACTAATTCTCCAAAATTTGCCTTATTTGCCTGTTTTTAGATGACTGCTCTGCCCATGAAGCTTCAGGCTCTCGGAGAAGTTCAAGATGATCGAAAGGCAACAGAAACTTAAAAAATGAAAATTACAAAAAGCAGCTATCCAAAAATTGCCTTATTTTCCTGTTTTTTTTGTACGCGTGCTCTGTCCATGAGTCCACAAGCGAGTCCTGATGGTGAGTGCCTACGATGGCTTTTCTGTGCCTGATGTCGGGACACGGGGGAGGGGGGAAAGAGCAAGTGCATCGCCATGGTTACCTATAGTGACACACATCCACTTCCAGCAGCTGTGGTTCCACTGAAGAAGTCATATGAGCTAATCCGGGTTCACAGAGAGGAGACGAGAGGGGCGTGGCCACAGGATTGAAGATTCACACAGTCATTATTATTTGTTTTAATGTTGGCCCTTACACACGACTTTGTTTAAGAATGTGACCCCATTACTTAATTGGAAAATATATGGATAACCAAAAAAAAAAAGGTCTTATGTTGGGATTTTACACCGAGATACACTTCTGTTTACACTTCTGGAATTGAACAGCCAATCAGCTCTCAGCCATGTGTGACTCTGAAGTGACTTTTTCTCTCAAGGTTGCAAAAGATAACATGTTTTCTGATGAAGACAGCGTGTTGTGGTCTGATTTGTTCACAACATTTTACTTTTGTATAATTGGTTCTGTTAAAACAAACAATGTGTATTATTTAAAAAAAATAAAGTTAGGTTCCCCAGATTTAATTACATCAAGTTGGATGTAATATCCAACTTGATGTAGGATATTACTCCTTTGGATACAAACTCTTAATTCAACAGAAACTCAAAGCACTATGCACATTTCCATTATTTATAAAGTTTGCATGTTTATCCATGAATTGTTTTAGAAATTATTCTCAAACATGAAATGCAAAAGTGAATCATCTGATAATGAACACAAATATTATATGATATGGTTGTATAAAACCTTGAAAAATCAATACATAATTATGGACTAGTTAAAAAATCTTTTAGTCTGCAGAAGAATGATCTGTGGCTGTGTTCATGTTGAAACACATCCATCCATCCATCCATTTTCTACCCTTTAATCCATTTCTGGGTCAGGGGGGTGGCAATCAGAGATGCCACCCAAGTCTCTGCAGGTGGTGAGTCCACAGGAGGACGGCTGCTCTCTGAGTGTGAGCATAGCCTTGATCTTTATGTTGAAACACAATATAGTTTAATTTTTCTAAACATAAATTATTATATTTTTTTTACCTGTTTTTGTTTTTTTACTACTTATTTGTATATATTGTGTGTGCTCCCTGTGTGCTCTTACTACTGTCCTTTATGTGTGATGCAACATCTTATCTTATCTTTTCACAGGCTGATATATTCCAATGGGCCCACAAGAGGAAGAGTTTTGCCATGCCTGTTCTAACCTCATTATCATTTGAACGTAGAAAAGATGTGTATTTAAACAATGGCTGTATTCAACAATGTTAGCAAAAGCAGTGGTTGCAAGATCGTTCTTCATCAATGGTAAAAATAAATAAATAAAAAATGTCTGCCTGGGTGTGTAAACTGCTAAGCACAGGCTTCTGATCTGAGAATTCTTCTGTTTTGGAAACACTAGGTGAACCCTCGCTCTGTCTAGTCACCAGAGTAATCTTAATAGACGAGCCACTGGTTTCCGCAGCAACACAGGGTCCCACACAGGGATGCAGGAGCACAGCGTGAGAGAGAGAGTGAGCCTGATACAAAAGGTTACACATTAACAAAGTTTGGTTTGGCAGATATTGAACTGGAGAACTCAGAGCTGGGGTACCTAGCTTTTTTTGTCCCAACAGAAAAAGTCTTTTCTTTTGCATACATAAGAAAGAGCCCCGTGAGCCCACTTTTTCACATTTTGTGCTGGGAGCTGATTGGCTGAGTCAAGGTGGTCCTCCCCCACTTTTAAGTAACATGATTGAGTACATCTGCCAGCAATGGTTAAACCTGTCGGACTCACCTGCCTTCTGTCCCCTCATGGATTTGCAACGCAGATGTTTCCTCAAACCAAACTTTGGGCTTAAAAAGTAGAAGGCCCCATTCACTGGCTGCACACATACAAAACAATGGATTTTTTTTTAAAGAGAATATGATGGTTAGATACTTAGGGGAATATGCCATTACCTTTGAGAGTAGAGACGACACTCCAAAACTCATGCAGCCAATCACAGAGCTGCTCCTGCACCTGCACAACACTACAGAGCTTTAAAGAACGTTTAACCATGTTATAACAGTATTACTCATCATAAAAGAACTGAAGTTGTTTTTTAGATCCATCCACACTAATGTCAGGAACAAATCGGCACAAACACATCCAACAATGCCATTTTCCACCATTGCGGGCATAAGTATTGTCTTGAATTGACAATACATGCACAACTGTGATGAATGCACTTCTCATCTACAACAGTTTTGTGCACTAGACATTCACACATTATTTTTTTTAACCTGTAACACATCTGTACACACATATGAACATACTACAACAAAGTAGGAGACAACTGTGAAGTTAATAATGGGGTTAGTATTTCTTTGAGTTGATTTGAAAATGTCCTGATGACTGCTGAATGCTCCTATCTTGTCCTAACCATTAAAATAGAGCCCACCTGTCAGGCAGCACGGTGGCTGAGATGTTAGCACTCTCGCTTCTCAGCAAGAGGTCTGAATCGCAGCCGGATTTCTACAAAAACACGGCTGTCTGCCCAAGTTCACGGCTCCAACCAGGACAACACTAACCACAGATGTGGTCAAATGAGATCAATGATTACTCTGCTGGAGCTGCAGACATCCACAGCTCACCTAGGGGAATCTGTGCATGGGGTAACATTATTCATACACTACAAGGCATTCTTCCACATTCAACATGAGGAAGAAGATTCCAAATTCAGGTCAGATGAGACCACTTTTTTTTTTCATACATTCAAAATGTTACTTAATGGCTCAAAATCAACACTGCTTATCATCTTCACTGCACCATCCCAGTATCAAATATAGGGGCGGCAGGATTATGTTATGGGGGTGGTTTTCTTCAGGAGGGACAGGGATGAGTGTTTGATTTCCTTAAGCATAAAAACTTGAATTTGAACAGTCATTCCCCAAATGACTTGCTGTTGTGATTGCAGCCAACAACGTATTAACTCTGTATGGTCACCTCCTTTGGGGCGAAGCGGCGAGGGCTGTTACAGTAGATGCTGCTTGCAGCTTTAATTTTAGTTTTTTAGTCAGAAATGTGCAATGCCCGGGACACCATTGAAGCGCTGCGTTCCATGCAGGTGATATGAAGAACTTATTTATTATTCAAGAATCTTTTTTTGTGGAAATTTCTTATTTTTATGTGGAGCATAAGGTTCTTTTTATTGCTCAGTCACCAGACATAAAGTAACTTTTTCACAGACTCTACACCTGTCCTGATGGTTTTAGAAATATACTGTAAGGTGTGTGATATAAAATGAATTGGATGTAGCAAGCTTTTTTTTGTACCTAAAATTGCCGTTTTTTTTCCCTTGTCATATACGGAATAACCCTGCTTCGGTCATTTCACATTTGGCTCAAAATCGCTCCGCATCATCTAACCAGGTGTAGCATTTGAAGTTAGCTGGAGAATAGTGATCAATTAAACGTTGTACAAGCCATGGAGCAGCAAATTTGCTCCTTTTCACAATACAAAGTCCTAATTGTAAAATGTTTAACCGGTTGTTAACAACAGGTTCTTAGGGTCCTTGTTGATCAAGAGACATCCCCCCACATAGTCCCTATAAAGTAAGCCAAATGTAACAAACATTAACAAGTTAGCTGCCGCCGAATCATTGAGCGAGTGGGAGTGGGGTGCCGGAGAGCGGAGTTACGAGCAGGTTTAAACCATGTAATGATCACCCCAAATAAACAAAATCAATAGATGGACACTATTGTGCTAATGATACCAGATGCAAACATCTAAACAAATCTACTGCTGCACTAGCAAGACGTATTTAACTTGCACTTTATTTAGACAAGGTAAACAGATAATAATATTAATACAATATCAGATAAAGATTTTATATTGTTATGATAAAGCTGCAGATTACAAATAGCTGGCCACACCCAGCCCTTTAAGTGGGACGGATAAATGGTCTTCTTCATTAAATTACGTCAGTAAGAAAGTGACCAGCCCTGCAAATTCACCATAGTAAGATCCCCGACTCTACAATAAGCCACAACCCAGACAATCAAGATTTAAACAGATGTCGAAGGATAGATATTACTTTTCAAAATGGTTATTAAATCAATTTTAATTCAATTATAACTCTTATTAAAAAAAACAGTCCCGTTTTCAAAGGCACAGTCCAGTCCAAAAAAGACTTACTATTGTAAAATCTATTTAAAAACTCTGCCCTAGCTTTTTGAGGATATGATGCAACAACAAACAGATGAGACGAACTCAGGGGTTTATAACTTGGCAGCTAGGAAATGAAGAAAATTGTTTATACAGTTAGAGTGTGATAGTGTCTGTGAGGCTTGACTGGATAAGCGACAGAAACCAGTATGCAGCTGGTGTCAAGGTCTCCCACACTCTGAACAACCAGAGACATAACGCTCTACCCGTCATTACATATATCAGTCTTTATATCTAATATATTATCACCATGCTGTCCCCAAGTTAACGTAACTCATGGCTAATCATTCGGAAATGAATTTCTACTTTTTTTATAGACTGGTCCGTGGTCTACATGTCTGACACTTACGTATCATGATTTCATTTGTAAATAGTTGATTCGCTCGTCATGTGTCGCTAAGAACTGATCCTGTATTGAAATCCTGTATTGAAACACACCGGACACGTGACAAACATGTCAGTGTCTTGGACACTGCTTCACTTTGTATCAACTGTGTCGGTGTGTTGAAGCGTTTCAGTAGCTCAATGAGTTTCCCTGCTTTGCATTGGTTCAGAGTTACGACACGCCTCCATGGTTTGCTTTCAGCGGATAGGCACATTATAAATGATGCATCAATATTTCTGTACAATGTTGGTTAGTGAGGAGATGTGTTGTACAGTGTTGTACAGTGTTTGGGACTTTTGGCAACTTTGGAGGCATCTATAATTGGAAAACGGAGATCCAGGGTTTGGGATCATTTTGATATCAAAAATTGTCAGGATGATTTTTTCTTTATTTTTTTAAAGCTGGTGCCAAACAAGTTTCTTAAATAAAAAAGTGATATCTGCATGAAGTGCAATCATTTGTTTAAATCTAAAAACAATATACAGTATATAAACAAAACTTGTTCAATTTAAGGATCCCTTTAAAAACTAACAAAATGTCAACAGTACACCCATGTTATGCTGCAGCAGGTGGGTTCTCTAGTCATAGTTATGTGAGAAGATGACACAGTAATACATTGAAATCGCGTGTGGAACAATGAATCAACTTCTGGTGTTACAAGCTAGTCTGAGCTAGCGCAGAGGCTTCAACACATTTGAAACAGTCTGGCAATGAAAGCCTCAGTGTGTTGGGGGCTTCATATGCCCATCACCATTTTTTTTTGTTTATTTGCGTTTTTGCCCTTAAAACATGAACTATGAAACATGATATGAACAATGGTAGTAACTAACCCTGTCAGACCTGGAGTTGCATTTAGCTCCCCCACTCAAATTATAATAAAGCACCGTAGAAGTACATTGTACTTCTGTAATATGGCACAGAAGCACGTTTAGCTTCCATTCCGCAATACAGGTGTGTCTGACGGAAAAGGCAGCGTTGCCGACGTACCACAGTCAAGCTCATCCTCCCCGTTGTCGCAGTCCTTCTCCCGGTCACACTTCCAGAACAGAGGGATGCACTGTGTGGAGCCTGCAGTGCAGCTGAACTCATTGAACCTGCACGTCCTCATGTCTACATACACAGAGAGAAAACATGTGGTCGGATTTGTTCAACACATTTCACTTTAACAAGACAAACCAGATGGATTATTAAGATAAGCTTTATTGTGAGATAAAGCTTCACAATAGGGGCGACAGTAGCTCAGTTGGTAGAGCATTGGCCTTAAGGCCAGAAGGTCGTGGGTTCAATTCCCACCTCTGCACCTTCTCCACCGACTCCCACTGATGACTGCTGTCGTTGTGTCCTTGGGAAAGACACTTAACCCCACTTTGCCCAAAGCCCCCCCACTGAAAGATCAAGGCTATGCTCACACTCAGAGCAGCCGTCCTCCTGTGGACTCACCACCTGCAGAGGGTCAGTGAGGGGCAGGTGCTATGAGACTTGGGTGGCATCTCTGACTGCCACCCCCCTGACCCAGAATTGGATTAAAGGGTAGAAAATGGATGGATGGATGGATAATATTATAGTATAGATTCTTTTTTCATGTATTGTACTGTATATGGTAATTTGGATTTGGCAACCGTCACCGTGTCTAATCACACCCTTGTCAACTGTTGCGGACTAGGACTACAGAGCAGGTGCAGGAATCCATCTGCACACCGTCCTCTGACCAGAGGCTAGTTTTACTAAAATGTAAACTAACCTCTGGTCAGATGGCTCCTTGTACGGACTGGAATCTCAATACTTTCAAGTGCAAAGTTCTTGGGAACTGGGATGCATTTATTGCCTCATTTACTCTTTAATGTGTACTCTTTAAGTACTGTGACTATTGCATCTGTTTAGAAGAGGATGTTTTTAAGTTTTGTTGTTAAAAAGCAGAATGTTTTGCACATTTGTAGACTTACAATAAACATCACATTGACTGTCAGTTCATTTGGAATATTTCATGTCGCAACAAATTGAGATCCCAAGGCGTATCATATCGTTGCACGAGATACAAATCACATAACGTATCACACATGTTACAGCCCTCTTAGGATACCCTATTAGTGCTGTTACATCACACCAAAGGCTATTTTTCAGGACTCAAGATGGTCAGAGGAATCCATCACATAAAGCAGCGATTACAGAAAACAAATGCAACGTCTAATGTAGCATGTGCCCTTTAAGCACTACCTCGAGCAATAGGTGTAGACTGATATTACTGCACAGTGAGTTTGGTGTTCTTGAGATTCCCAGGCCCAAGTCCTGAAGGAGAGGTTAAAGGAGCTAGGAATGAGACAACTCGATCTTAAGAGTATTCTAGAGAAAGGCAGTAGGGCACAAGTAGTGGCATTGTTTTTTTTAAAGGAAACTGGAGTGTATGAGAGGATATAGGTTATTTTAGTAGCATAGGGTGCTAGAAGGGATTTATTTTTGATTTTTTGATTTATTTTTGTATTATTCCCCTTCCCTTGTTGGGACCATAGACTGTTTGGGTTTTAGATTGTGAGCTTATTGTCTGACCCACTCAGTAACAGAAGGTGGCGGTAATGCTCCACTAGTTGGCTGCCAACCGCCGTAAAACCCAAAGAAGAAGAAGGCTACTAAGGGGATAGAATAATTTGTCTGTAATAAGGAAGAAAAACCTTCCATCTGAAAAAGCATTGAAGTTGAAACATGGTTCCTTTCAGTTTTTCAATTATTCAATACACACTGCCCAGAATGACTCCGTAAGAAGCAGATCAAGTTCCAGGATTGGCCTAGCTATTCTCCTGATCTCAACCCAATAGAAAATCTGTGGCAGGAGTTGAAAGTGTTTCCCAGTGACAGCCTCAAAATGACTTGACAATAAACATTACATTAAAAAGTATTGAGAAGAACTTTTGTTATTGGTCAAATACTTCAAATTCTGCACAATTATACAAATTTATTGTTTATTGATCCTTACATTACTCACAGTTGAAGTGTACCTAATGAAAATTAACCTGTCTAATGTTTTAAATTAGGGACAACTTGCACAATCGGCAACTGCCAAATTATAGTTGGGTCCCCTGTTGCAGTGTAGGAGAGGAACACTCACGGCAGACGTCCTGGGCCTCATCAGAGCCGTCCTCACAGTCTGGCTCTCCATCACACTGCCACCGCACTGGCACACAACCCCCACTTTGACACACAAAGTCTGAGCCCGCACACGTCTTTTGCACTGAAACACACAGTCACACACAGCATCATCACCAGTCGCACCGCTTGGTCACCAGGAAAAGAACTTACGTAAGGGCAACATGAATGGAGAAGTGCAGTCAGCAAAAAGGAAAAAAACTATTTTGAGGTGAAAAACTTTTGTAGATTTCTCCTGTGTGAGATTAATGAAGTACATCTTATCTTATGCAAAACCACACTTGCATGTTCATCCTCGACAACTCGAGTAGCTCATTGCTAGCCTGGCCTTAGCCATCCCTACATTTCGCTCAATCATCATTTCCCTGCATGTAACGTCTGGGTCTGGTCCCCATGTTAGCGATTACAAATTGGTTGAATTTCGACCGACAAATCAGCGAGCGTGGGAGGTGGGTGTTGTAGTTAGTTGTGGGTGATGTCAAGAGTTTGCGTTGAACGGGCAGGTTGTAGTTTGTCAGTGGCGCAATATTGCGATATTAAATTAATCCGGTCTGGTTCTATCAAGAAATTGAAGCAGGAGCAAGAGTAATGTTTGGCAAATGTAATCGCTGGAAAAAAATTGTGGAGCTACTCCCCACGGGCTCCGTTAGCGGCAAAGGAGATGGCTAGGCTAAATGCTAAATGCTAAATGCTAACGACAGACTCGGGCGCCCTACATACGTCACGGTAAACTCAGATCCAATCGTTTCAATCTGCAAAAGGAGTTAACCCCTCCCACCTGTAAACGGAGCTCAATGGAATGTAATTTGTACTATGGTGTGGTACGACCAGGCTAGCTCGTTGCAGGTCAGGGGATTAAAGTCCTATTACCCTTAGTTGGCTTATTGTAAAATCAACTAAGATTTTTATAGTGCATTACATTGACTCACCCCAATGGAGAAAATAAGTTTAAAATAGTGCCGTCAGTTGAACGCATGATAAACAGCGTTAAACGCAGTTGTTGCACACTGTTGCAACAACTAGTAACTTTAAAAAAAACTACAACACCACTCCAGCTCTAGCTAGACCAGAAACAAAACAAAGTATGCTTGTGGTTCATAGCATGTATACACACCATATGGACTGTACATACACACCGACGCGAGGTCCTTTTTTCGGCTGACGAGCACCTGGCTGCGCGGCGTGTCAGCATTTGTTGTGCTCCAGGCTTCTACAGCGGGCACGTATCTGAAATCAACCCCACAGCTGCGAGAGCTAACTATTATGAGGCCATAGCCCAATCATTGAAGCTTTAGTTATTTCCACTGCGGTGATAGTCACATACATAAAAAAAGACTTGAATGAAAGCAAAGAAAAGTGTAGCCTTTATTAGACAATTCAAGTAATTTCTTTTATGTTAAATAGTTCTAAAAGCAGATATTGAGTAGCCTCCATTAGACAAATCAAAATACTATCTTTTTGGAGGGGATTGTAATCATTTAAGTTTTTTGCTTCATCCAAACACTTTTTCAAAACAAAAACAAACATTTAGAACAGGGAAAAATTCTGATTTATCACAAGATAACTATCAAAAATGTCTATCGTTTGACAGCACTATTTTTTAAAAATTGTCTTTATTAGTTGCCAATATACAATTAATGAGCTGGAGCTAATTCGGGCTTTTCCCCCCGCTGTTTGTATTTATCATGGGTGTAATGAACGTTCAGTGTGTCTTCAGTGTGTTCATAAGGGGAAACATTGGTTTACGGGCTTTTCCCCCCGCTGTTTGTATTTATCATGGGTGTAATGAACGTTCAGTGTGTCTTCAGTGTGTTCATAAGGGAAAACATTGGTTTAGGTACTACAAAAACATACTGTTGTTCCAATTGAAGATGCGTCTAATTGTAGCTGAATCAAGGAAAGGTATTCATAAAGCAGTTTCGCAACACCATGGACACACTTTTTCTCACTATTTAAATTAAATATACATTTACCTAAAAAGAAAAGAATTAAACACTAAGTGAGGCAGGAAGTGACCTGGCTTTAAGGTACTTACTTTTTTACAAGATGGGCTCATTTTCAAATGGAAGATTACATATTAATACTCAAACTATTACCTGGACTAAAAAAATAAAGTGGTCTGAAGTGAAGTGATGTATGGAGTTAATTTATAAAAAGGTAAGGCCCAGAAAAAACACTTTTAAATGTGCTTTTATAGTTTATGTCTGCTCTTGCCAAAGTTAATAATCCGCTCAGTAGGTCCTGTCGTGTGGTGTAAATCTGATTGTGATGAAGTCACACAGGAACCTCTGAACTACCTATCGAACATACTGTACATACACGCCTAAAGCATCAGGCATCATAAAAGAGGCTTTAGGCGCACACACACACGCCCCCGTCCCTTTCTACGAACACTGACCACAGGTGCCCTCGTCGCTGCCGTCTGTACAGTCCTCGTCGCCGTCACACTGCCACACAGACGGGATGCAGCGGCCGTTTACACACTGGAACTGGTTTGGCTCGCACTCAGTCACTGTACCTGAACACAACATAAGAATCCAAATTAGGAAGCCATTTTTATTTCACAGCTGGCAATCACAAAGCACTTCACAATGTGGATGCATTATTCATTCACTTACTGAAGAACAATTGCCAACAGTCAAACACTAAAAATTCCAAGTTCTACCAGTACATGGAGCCGTTTGGCCACATCAGAAATGTACATATACACACACACACACATATATATACACAGTAAAATTAGTGATTGAACTGTCCATAGGACAGAAGACCAATATTAGCATAACATGTTTGAGGTGTTTATGATGGAGTAGCTTTTTCCACATTCTCAATTTGCTTGTTTGACCTGTGGGAGTATTAAGTATTCTCCAATTAGATTTTGAGTAACCAAGTAGTGGAACACACTAATCTGATTACTTTAAATAGTGATACACCCAACGCCATTTTGGAGATGAAGTGTATCAAATCTCCGAAAACACCCTGCAAAAAAACCAGCAAGAGTTTAGCCAATAAATTGTCTTGTTTCCATGTGCGGAGGATGACTGCAGTCTTTGACAGTTAGTTAGTTACACAAATTGTAATTTGAAGCCTTGCTATGGTGTGAATTGTACGCTATAGTCAGGTGAGTGGAGGGCCAAGATGATGATCTAAAAACGGCTTGTGACACAATTACAGAAGCTGACCCACATTCTGACAAAGGCTGAGACTGAACAGACTTGTCTGTCATTGAAGGGCAGGGACCAGCTGCACAGGGTTATGTGGATGCTTCAGAGAAATACTGAAATAAACAAAACATTGTATGTCACTGACATACAGTATAGCAGGAGTGTCATTGTAAACCCCTTTAGAGCTAAATTAATACTTCACCCTGTAATGATATGATTTCAGGAAATTGTTTTAGAACCACCATGTACTGAATTTACATAAATAAAAAGGCCTGACTCCCCCTGTAAGGAATGCAACTTTGGGTCTACCATTAGTTGACTTAGGACAGGAGTGCTTGGGAAACAACAACTTTACGGCACGCTGTGGATAGCACTCTCGCTTTTCAGCAAGAAGAGAGTGTCTGCATAGGTTTCCTCCGGGTGCTCTGGTTTCCCCTACCACTAAAACCATGCACAATAGGTCTGGCATGCGCCTCCTGTACTGGCGACCCCACTCCCATCTCTGTGAGGACTGAGAGGACAAATGCCCAAAAGTAAACAATTGTAAACCGCTTTGTGACTCTGGTCTGTGAAAGGCGGTATATAAATAAAGATTACTTACTAGAGTCATTCTATCTGTAACAACATATATGTTTAACTAAGTTAGTGTAAAATCAACCAGACTGATCTGTGAAAATTAGTTAAATGGGTTTAGAACAACGGACAGACAGATTTATGAGGGGAACAGCATAATAGAGAACATAATGCTTATTGAGGTGACGTTTAACCCAGGACACTCTTTTTGGCCCCATTAGACGGAGACACTGCAAAGCAATTCACACCGTGCCTTCACCACGACAAAAAACAATGTAGGTCTAGCGCCCGCCCAGGGGGGAGCAAAGGAACTTCACAACACAACACACACAACCCCCACCATGTATTCCCACTTACAGCATCCTCATGTGAGGGAATTCACCAACATCATTCTGCATTTAACAGTAGCTGCGAAAATGGACACTGAAATTAGAGCTTTGAGTGGTTTTGTTTGGACCAAAGAGTAGAATTTTCCTCCGTGCTCTGCTCGAAGCACACAGCATTAGTTGAGCCGCCGCCATTGTTGTTTACGTTTGTTCTCAGCTACTACAAATTTTTTGGGCCAGACATCTTAGGCAGCCTTTCACAATCGTCTGCCAGTATATTGGTGGAATTTTGGCCCATTCAGAACAGATTTAACATAAAAAGGTTAGTTGGACTTCTTGTCAGTATCTGCTTTTTGGGCATAATGACCATTGTTATGTTTAGAGGAAAGAATGAGGCAAGCACAGCGAAGAAAACCATCCAAAACATGAAGCCCAAAGGTTGCATCATGTTGTTCAGGGGTTTTCTGCCAGGGGAGGGGACAAAAACTCCCCAAAATGGCTCAAGGACAACAAAGTCCAGGTGTAGGAGTGGCAATCACAGCCACAACCTCAAGTCCACTCAATATTTGTGGGCAAAGCTGAAAAGGTGGGTACAGGAAAGAAGGCCCACAAACCTGACTTAGTAACATCAGTTCTGTCAATTTAAAAATACAATTCTGACAAATAGTATGTAATTTTCTGACATTTTCTGTTGGGAATACAAACTGAAATTTAGATTTCCAACCAAACTCAATTTTAATTTTTTACAAGCCACACATATGTAATATATAACCATGCAATGCCCTCAGATCATCTGAGCAGGGCAGGCTTTGCTCATACATGTCATATACAATACATCAATTTTTTCTCAACTGCTTAAACCTGTAAATTGCTTTGCCAATTCACAGATTTAAAGCAATTTGTGGACTTTGCTGCCACTGGTGGAAACTATCCAAACTCAAGTGAGCAAGTTTCAGTGGTTAAACGGGAGATGTAAACAGGACAAAATGGTCTTGAGTTTTAGAAACATTGATCTGAACATGTGGTTAAAGCCTTGTGGTGTCATAACAATACAAATTACTGCCAAAGCAGAGAAATTAAATCCTGAATGTGGCATATGACATATCAAGTGTACTTGATAGTTCGAAATGTTGGAATCTTATGTGACAACACTACAGCCATAGGATGTGGTAAATGATGAAGAACCAGTGTGAATCTTTAGAGCTGAATACGGATAAGGGAGATATTCATATTTCATATAGCCTATTCCAAGACTGGAGCCTATGCAACATTTGAAATCGTTGACAAGGGTTCTCCTCATTCTGAAACCCACGGCCATGTGTTTAAAAATAATGATCTATGAACTCAGTGGCCACATCGCGACACGTACACAAGCACTGATAATTGAGAAGTGTATATTGACTTCAGCCTATTTGTTGCGATGCTGCGTTCTATAAAAGGCTTTTCTGGAGCGCACGTTGCCTTTTCTATGACCATCCTTTGGAACCACTGAGCCACTGCTTGAGCCACTGCTGGAGCCACTGAGCCAGAGGAACAATGCGCTCCAGGCACACGATAACCGGTACTGTATATGTACATTTATATCTGAGAGAAGGAAAGCTGAGCCCGAGCGCAAAGTGGGCTAGAAGCGCGGCTGCGGCTGATTAGCTCCGCCGCGCACGGGACAGGTGCACAGTGTTCCCAGGCACTCACCGCCAGCGAGCAGGCCGTGGATGAGGCACAAGAGCGGGGGCAGCAGCCAGGGTGCGAGGCGCGCCAGGGCCGTCATGTCGCCGGAGTGGAAGCGTGTGCGTGGAGCCTCTGTGCTCGGTGCTTCAGTCCGCTCCTCCTCCTCTGCGCTGTGGGTGAAGGCTCAGGGCTCCCGGGCCTCTACTGCCTGTCTAATATTCCATTGGGCCTGTGCGCGCGCATTCAGGACACGCGCGCCCCCACGTCCTCGGGTCTCAGCGGGGCGGATCAGCGATGGGACAGGGGCGTTTGTGTACGTGTATATGTAAATGAGGACATAGATGTGACACAGGAGTGTGTCCCGGGCCACATGAATGGCGGCGGTGCGCGAGAGCTGCGGGAGGCAGAGCAGGTTAACCCTTCCCTGCCCGCGTGAGGCTGCTGATTCTCAATCTCTGCATTACAAACTGGGACAATGCTCAGTCGGGAGGTGATGAGGTCTCTGTGGAAAAGAGCGGCTGTTTATCTAGTAGTCTATTTTAAAATCATGTCAGTAACTTAAAGGTGCACTGCGTCACTTTTCAGGTTTGATACCCGCTTGTTGCCATGGAGACAGCACGTTGTTTGAAAATAATTTTTGTATTATATAATGTGTTGGTAGGGGCAGTGCATGTAGATTTATATGCTGTGTTACTAAGTAACACATTACTGTTACAAAATTACAATTTGAGTAACGTAGCAAGGTGAAGAGATCTTTTATTCTTTCGCACAGGGGGGACATTTCAGTGTCTATCAACGGTTCTGTAAGCAGGCATGTTTTATCATATTTTTAGTGTGGACTTTAATTTCATGGTTTTATTTGTTGCATGGTTTTGAGTGTTTATTTGAGTGTTTATTTGATTTTAATATGATGCCTTGTTGCTCTAGGCAAGGGAAGTTTATCTGTATAGCGCAATTCACACAACTCAAAGTGCTGAACAAAATAAGAAAGCATTAAAATCATAAATAATCACAGTACATTAAAAAGAAAGATAAAAATACAAAATCACTCAGTTGTATGCACAGCTAAACAAAACTGTTTTCAACCTTGTTTTAAACATTGTCAGAGAAGAGGCCTGTCTCACATCTTCAGGCAGATTGTTCCAGATTTTAGCAGCATGAATCTTAATGCAGCCTCCCCATGTTTAGTCCTGACTCTGGGCACTAACAGGAGTCCAGTCCCTGTGCTCCTCAGAGTCCGGGCTGGTTCATATGGGACTAACATGTCACTAATATATTTTGGTGCGAGGTCATGGAGAGACTTGTACACAAGCAGAGCTGTTTTAAAGTCTATTCTCTGAGCCACAGGAAGCCAGTGCAGAGACCTGAGGACCGGACTAATGTGGTCGTACTTCCTGGTTCTAGTCAGGACTTGAGCTGCTGCATTTTGAATGTACTGCAGCTGTTTTACAGATGACGCTCTCTCTTTGTTTCTGGGGACCAAAGACAATCATTTCAGTTTTGTCTGGCGACACCAACACTGTCCTCTAGTCTCTGTGAGAGGATCTCATGGTCGACAGTGTCAAAAGCTGCACTCAAGATTAAGATTAAGACTTTGCCTGCGTTAGTGTTCAGCTGGATATCGTTTGTCACCTTGACGAGAGTAGTCTCAGTGCTGTGGTGGGGTCTAAAGCCGGACTGAAAAATGTCATATGAGTTGTTAATTATAAGAAATCTAGTAAGCTGTTGGTAGACAACTTTTTCAAGGACTTTCCCCATAAATGGCAGATTTGAGATGGGATGATAGTTGTTCAGTACCGTGGTATCCACAGAGGCGACCCGTGCCAACGGGCAAGGCAGGCAGCCTGCCCCCAAACCGGCAGGGGGCCCCCGAGGACCGACTGATTTGACACAAGCGGTCGATTTGTGCAGGCTACAACAGCTACCTGTTGTGACTTTTCGTCTGATGGTCAACTTGCCACGTTCTTTATTGACTGTTGAAACCCTTTCTGGGGTACTTTGGACATTGAATGAACCGGTGGTCTAGTGGTTGAAATGCAGCACTTGCAATGTGGTGGCTCGGGATTGTGTCCCGGCGGGAGCACTGTTATGGATTAACCATATATTATATTAAAGGACAGATTGCTCAAGAACCGTAGAAGGTAAAAACAAGTCAGTTTTTGCAGATTAAAGCTAAGAGCCTAATCATTTTTCAGACTTTATAAACATAAACAAGAATAGATTTTGGAGGATTAATACACTTTGATAGGTAGTTTTTGTAATTAATGATAACATGATGAGTGTAGTGAATAAGCGTATAAAAAGACATGCTAAATTATTTCTCATTGCTTTGTCTCATGTTAAGGACAGAAGTACTCACAATTTTCTATGGTAGACTGTACAGTCTGCCAGGCAGGCCCCAGGAAGAAATTATCAACATTTAATTTGTATTAATGTAAACAAGTGAGAGATATTGCATTTTATCTTATAATATAATATTTATTTATAAATATTATATTATTTATTATTTATAAATATTTATAAATAATATTAATAATAGGGTGACAGTATTCAGTTGGTAGAGCATTGGCCTTAAGGCCAGAAGGTCGTGGGTTCAATTCCCACCTCTGCACCTTCTCCACCGACTCCCACTGATGACTGCTGTCGTTGTGTCCTTGGGCAAGACACTTAACCCCACTTTGCCCAAAGCCCCCACTGAAAGATCAAGGCTATGCTCACACTCAGAGAGCAGCCATCCTCCTGTGGACTCACCACCTGCAGAGGGTCAGTGAGGGGCTGATGCTATGAGACTGACCCAGAAATGGATTAAAGGGTAGAAAATGGATGGATGTAATAAAAGCCTTTTTATGTTATGTTTTATGTTATGTTACGGTATCGGGGCCCCCAAGGACTCTGTTGCCTGGGGCCCTGGGGTACCCTTGGAACGCCTCTGGGCATCCAGACTGCTCTTTTTTTAGAAGGGGCTTGATGACTGCAGTTTTCCGGGCCTTTGGGAATATTCCAGAATGAAGGGACATGTTTACTATCTGTGTGAGTGAAGGTAACAGACTGCTCAGAACAGACTTCAGAAATCTAGTGGGTAGTACATCCAGGCTGCATGTGGAGGAGCTCAGACTGGAGATTATCTCTTGGACAGTTTGATCATTTACAGGTGCAAAGTGAGTTAGCTAAAAGAGCTTTTCTGGCTGTTGGATGGTTATCTGTGGATTGGAGACAATGGCGTTTTTGATGCCTTGCACCTTGTTATTGAAAAAGTGTGCAAACTCATTACATTTACATTTGGAAGTAAGCTCTAATGGCATTTGAACAGGGGGATTTGTTAATCTATTAACGGTTGAAAACAGAACACGCAGATTGTTGCTGCAGCCTTCAATCATTTCAGAAAAATACCTTTCTCTCGTACTACGTAGCACCCGGTTAAACTCACACAACTTATCTTTGAAGATCTCGTAATCAACATGGAGGTTGGACTTGCGCCACTTCCGCTCGGCCCTCCGGCACTTTCTCTTCAGTGCTCTGACCGAGTCTGCTTTAGCCCACGGCGCTTTCTGCTTATTTTTCACTATTTTAACCTTCACAGGGGCAACGGTATCCAGAACATTCAAAACACTAGAGGTGACAGAGTTAAACAGTTAATCTACAGTAGAACACAATGCATTCTCAAAGTTTATCATTCCCATAATTAGTTCTCCTGTATTCTCATTAATGTGTCTCAGCAAGAAGGCACACTCTAGACCTGTTAGTTACTAAGGGGGTGAATATTGCAAATGCAAACGTAGTTGACGTTGCTATGTCGGATCATTTTTGTGTATTTTTTGACATTTGTTTCACTGACAAACCACCAGTGGATGCTGCAGTTGTTCAAAGAAGTAGATAAGTAAGTAATGTTTATTTATGTAACACATTTTACAGACCAATGTCACCCAAAGCACTCAGAGTTCAGATATTGTTCCAATCATTCCACACACGGTGATGACGGAACACACTGGGGCCTCAGCCCCCAATCAACACCATCCATTCACTCTCTCATTTACATACCTATTGTGTATGTTTTTAGTGGTAGGGGAAACCGGAGTACCCGGAGGAAACCTACGCAGACACGGGGAGAACATGCAAACTCCACTCAGAAAGGCCCTGGTCCGACTGGGATTCGAACCCAGGACCTTTTTGCTGAGAGGTGAGAGTGCTATCCACTCAGCCACCATCCCGCCCAATTACCACAGCTTTCTGCCGTTTGCAGCGCATTCAAAAGGAAACGTGAAATTAATGGGGATTTTTTGTAATCAATTTTTTTGACTTTTAATATAAGATAATATAAAACACGTGCATGTGTGGATTTGTGTCTGTGTCCGATTCAAGCCAAGGTATTTCAATTCACCCAAGGTCAATCTCAACGCTTCCAAGTACATTATCAAATTACATTTGTTTTTATTGTTCCAAAAGCTGAATTCTTACATTAGGAGATGGTAAGTTACTTGTATGACATTGAAGTCCCATAACATAACATAACATAGCATGACATGTAAGTCCCTCCACTTTGCATAACGAGATATAAGACTTCAATAGTCTGTAGGCTGACGTGGCTTTGTCCTGAAGTAAACTTCTGACAAAAGTCTCTCATTCTGAGATTTGTTTCAGAAGTGATCCAAGTTTGTGATTCCCACTGGCTCTCTGGATGAGGTTAATCATTAGGCTTATGTGGTTTATTCAACAACAAAGGTACATTTTTTGTTCATTCATTTTTCCCTTTTTTAAATTAATTACTAGCGTTGGGTTTTCCCATGGATCTAAAATAATAACTGGATAGGGTATTACTAGCTTAAAGCTGTCCCACCCACGGGTATAGGGGGCACCCGTGGTACTGCAAACTAAATTCACGAGGGCTACCTGGAAAAAAGTCCCATAAAACTCAATGTAAGTTAAAACAGCTCGACCTCAGCTGACAGAGAACCTACAGATTTCATTTAGGAGGATTTTGTGGGGATTTTATTGTCCCTTGTCATACTGAACTTTTTTTCTTCCTAAATCCTTTGGTTTTCTTTAAATCCACACTTTACTGCCACAAACTCTGCTTCTTTTCTTCCCGCTCTGACTCCGCACTGCTGCTGCTCTGATGAGCAGCTCTGATTGGTCAGAGCGCGGCCGAGCCCCTCTGTGCGCATGCATGAGAGCCACACACGCACGTTTGGCGCAACGCATCATGGGAGCTCGTCCATTGCGCAGAACCGGGAGGACTAGATGATGCCCCAATATAGGTGAGTTTTGCTAATCTCCCGGTCTCTGTGAAGTCCCATGCGCTACTGAGCACAAGCCATTCATTTGAATAGGGCGCCATCTTGGATCACCGGGATTGGGTTTTCCATGTTTGATTGGTCTTTGTCGCCCTCTTTTGGACAAAAGAACTTCCTTCACCCCACAATGATCAATAAAAAACCTATGGTTAAATCATTTGTAATTAGGCCCTAGCCCCCGACCATAGACTGTATACATTAACAGACAGAGTCACGCCTATCTCCGCCGTTCAGACAAATAGGCCAAAAAATGTGCTCTACTGGAGCAATCCAAAATGGCCGCGAGTGGTCCCGCCCACAAGAAAATTGTGAAAAAACGCATCTGCGCATGCGTCAGCCGGCACAGCTCCATTCATTTGAACGAGAGACTTCAAAAATTCACAGCAAGTAAACTAGAGTGGACCAAAAAAATTCACCCCCTCAGCATTGACACACATGTGGAACGAAGCTTTGGGCCAAGAGCCAACTTTTGGTCCATCCTGTAAAGACGTTTTCGAGAGGTCTGCCAACGCTATATGTTAGCATTGGCTGATTCTTCTTCTGGGTCCACCCCCATCGGCCCGGGGTGGTATAGCAAGTATGTCAGCGCACGTCAATTTGGCCACTTTTGAGCTGGGACCCGCCCCCACTGCCCCCGCTTGGGCCCTTTTGGTTTCACAATGGTGAATGCAAGGGTTTGCGGTGCATGACGGACACAAAACATGATGGTTGCGTGCGTAAACTAAAACGCTTTAAAATCATGTATCAGGTGCCATTAAAACCTATATTGTTTTTGCTTTCAAAAATTTCTTCTGCACTTTGAACCTTTATTTTACACCCTGAACATGACATCTTGCCAAATTTTGCCCCGAATCCAGAACCGGTCAAAAATGTACTTTTTTTGTGTGTGTTTTTATGGGACTATAAAAATGCCAGAACAGCGGACCCTACAAAAGTCAGTTTACATTGCACCTATGGGAGGAGGTCCGAGGTCAAGTTTGTCGTAGAGCCACAAAATTCGGTATACTGTACACGTTCCTCAAGTCAAGACATGACAATAGACAATTTGCTCCTGTTTGCACAAACAAAGTTCAATTCACACAAAATTATCATCCATTGTTCAACTCTTGGATCTAGCTCATTTGAAAGTGAAATAAATTAAGTTAGCCAATTAGCGCCCCCTACAAACTACGTCTAAGTTTTACATAGGGATAATCACATTTAGTTTATTCAATCTGTTTGGAATTGTGAACATAATTCTGTTTTGCCCTCTTGATTCAAAAAGTCAACGACAACCAACTTTTATTTTTTACCCTGTTGCTGTGGCGACAACAAACGATCCCTATTCTATGTCAATGGCAAATGTACACCTTGCACAAACATGAAACCAGCCTCGGCCGTTTCACCGATTTGCCTATAAAATCGTTCCACATCATCTCAACACATTTATCATCACATGGTCTTCCAATGGAGACTGTATATTATACATGTGCTCCTGTTTACACATACAGTCTGATTTATGCTAAACTTGACTGGTTGTTCTACTTCTGGGCCTAGGTCACCTGAAGGTGTGAAATATGACATCGGCTATTTAGCGCCCCCTACAGACTGAGCCAAAGTTTTATATGGGAAGCCAAACCAACTGATCATATTCATTCAATTTTACACACTATGGCTAGGCGAGCAAATAATAACAAGGAGGGTTGTTCAACGCCGCTCGTGGCTTTGATTTAATTTTCCTCCTGATGTTTCTACAACAGAACATATTGAGATCATGGGTGAATATGGAATAAACACTCGTTAGCACACCCACCACGTGAACGTTTATCCTATCTCTGTTCTATTAATGATTCCCATATCATTTGATAAAAAAGTATTATAGACCTCTTGTATTTATGTGGACGGATATGTATAATGAATTACAGTTTAAATTATATGAAAACATGTCAAATAACGGTAAAAAATAAAACGGTAAATAATAAAACGGTAAAAAATAAAAACAAACTTCCGTTCCCCTCCACTAAAATTTATTTCTCCAGCACGTCACATTTGCCAAAGCACAGTCTGTGTCTGTGGTGAACACGGCGGTCACTGCTTGTCTGTCCCTGTCTGGCATCCATCAGATTTTGTGGCATCTATGTGTTTTTTATGACATCTGTGTGACGTCTTTCATGTTTTGGGACATCTCGAAGTTTTTCTGGGACCTTGTCTAGTACAGTACAGTGTTACCTGTTCCCTGCTGTGTCCTAGGAAAAGCACAACAATAATATGAAGTGAGAGGATGAACACACAAATAAGTCCATATGATGACTTACCTTTATTTAACATGAACACATGTACAACCCTCCTCCTCCACTCCGTCTCTCCCCTGCCTCACACTGCCCTGATCACTTTTGTGTTTGTGTTCTTCAGTTTGGCCTTTTGGGCATTTGGTCTCGCATCTGACTTTTTTCTGGCATCTTGTTAAGTATCTATTGAAAACCCAGGTCTTAGAGCTTGTTTTCTGTGACACACAAAACTGCCCATATGTTGATTTACCTGTATTTGATAAAAACACTTGGTTGAACCCTCCTCCTCCATTCCATCTCTCCACTGTCTGTATCACAGCTGCTTTATGGTTTTTGACAGATCTGGTTTTCTCTCTGGCATATTAATGACCTCTGCTCTGGCAGCTGTCGGATGTGTGGCATCTGCTCTGTTATAGATTTTTGTGACACCTGGTCGCTGCTGTCTGTCACAGAACAATGTAACTTTACCTCATGTCACTTTACTTATCTACTTATTATCCTGCACTATTTAACTGTACAGTATATAACTGCACTACTACATATATATTTTTTGACTGGTATTGAAGCATTTTCAGCATCTACAGCTAGTTATGTTAGCTAACAAACATAGCTACTACTTATTTGTATATATTGTGTGTGATCCCTGTGTGCTCTTACTACTGTCCTGTCTGTGCGCTGCAACATTGAAATTTCCCCACTGTGGGACGAATAAAGGAATTCTTATCTTCTTATCTTCTTATCTTATAAGACAACAATGCATTGAAGTGGGAGGAGGAACAAATGTAGTGTTCATATGACAATTTACCTGTAATTGATGAACACATGATATAACCCTCCTCCTCCATTCTGTCCGTCCACTGTTTGCGTCATATTCTCCTGTGTGAGATTAATAAAGTCTTATCTTATCATATGTTCCACACACTGGAAAATACAGACATATGAATTCACTGCACTTCATCACATACAGATACAACTGTAAGCCACACCTGCACAGAATATTCTGTGTTTCTTACTTTTTAAATGTTGCACTACATCTCCTTATATCTAAAAACAAAACATTCTTGTAAAATAATGTGATAAAAACGTTTTGTAACCATATACTCACATTTTGGTCTTGATCCCTCTTTTCAAGCCCAGAGAGAAAACATGGAGGGAAGAAACCTGTGAATTAAAGCAATACCACATGCGTTAAAGGCATTAAATGAAATCTCAACATATAAACAAACTATTTATACGTTTTATAAGCTAATTTGGCTCATGTTGTGGCATTGTCAGCGCTACAGCTCATCGGCTACAGCACCTGATGTGGCACCTTCTGTTAAACAGCAGCCTTTTGGTATCTGCTCTGGTATTTTGTCTGACATCTTCTGTCTCACCGCTCTGGTCACTGATGTGTCCTATAAATAAGACCACAATGCATTGGAATGAGGCACACTTCAGGGACAAATGAAATGTTGATACAATGATGTACCTGTATTTGGATTGAACACGTTGGTACTGTAAACCCTCCTGCTCCTCTCTGTCTCTCCACTATCTGAAGTCATCTGTTCCACTTCAAGAGAACACATAACTCCATGCGAGACCTGCACTGTGTATTTCTTTGTATAAAGTTGTGTAAAGAAATGTGACAAAAATGAATTAACCTGAACTCACCAGTCGTGTCCTTGTTCCCCTTTTCACTCACAAAGAGAAAACCTGTCAATCAAGCTATACCACAAACATTTGAGTCAAGACATCACATTTCCACACCGGAGTGTGCATAACATATTTTGGAGTTTTTTTTTTTAATAAAAAGGATCCAAACGGGATCCAACAATGCAGAACACAACAAATAAAATAGTAACAAACTAAACATATATTAAAAAAGGGATCAAACATGGATCCAGCAAAAGAGAAACTTGTTTAAAGGGGATCAAACATGGATCCAGCAAAATATAACTGTAACAGTAACTTTTTATTTTTTTATTTTTAAAACATTGATTAAACGTGGATCCAACATGTACATATTTACAAAGTGAAACGTCACCAACAGTAGAACACGGTCTTGTGAATCCCAGCTCCTCTCTGCTCCTTCAAACACACAAAACAGAGAGTGCATCAGTTCTCAACAACGGGAAGAAGACCTGTGTTTTTTGGTTAGATGTTTGCTCTCCGGCTCACATGACCTTTTGCGTTTGTGCTGATAGGCGTCCTTAGACACGGCCTGGTCTGAGGAGGGTCCCGGGATGGGGGGGCAGGCTCCGACTGTGGGACAATAGGAGCAGGGTTAGCTTTAGCAAGAGGAAGGGTCTTAGGCTCAGAGGAAAGAGTGCGTCTGGGAACTTTGGGGACGCACAAAGGAGCGAACCAAGAGTCAGTCAGAGAGGTGAGCTGGAGACGCCCGGGAGGAGGAGGGACAGAGCGAGGAGGAGGAGAAGCAGAGTGAGGAGGAGGAGCAGAGGAGTGCTGAAGAGGGGTAGAGTAAGCAGAAGGAGGAGGGTGAGAGAGCAGCCTGCCAGGATGCACAGTGCGGAGCCAAGAAACAGGGACCAGGCGAGGAACAACAGGAGCAGAGTAAGGCTTAGGGCGCTTAGGAGCAGAAACATGCTGTTTTACATTTGATCAGATTCATACATGTGAGAAATAGCCCTGTGAGTCACTATTTGACACTTTGTCCTGAGCGCTGATTGGCTGAGTGAGGGTGGTCCTCATTTTTCACTTTTCTGCATGAAAAAGCGGATCAAGAGATGTGACAGAAGAACTTTGAAAACTAGTGATAGAAGCACCATGTTTTTGAGCCAGGAACACTGGCCCTTTGAGGACAGTTATTTTGTTTCACTGTGTCTTATTTGTTGTGGATTGAAAGTTAGGTACCCCATCTTTAAGCAAGACATTCATGCCCTGATAAAGACTTATGTCAAAACGTGTTGGCTCAACTTTAGATTAAAAAAACACAGCTCTCAGAGTGCCTCCTTCTCCATGTTTTCTTTGTACATGCACTTTGTTGTCTAAAGTGTTTTCTGACTTTGTTACCAGATGTGTTCACGTTTTGTCCCCAAGTGGTAGTTGGAAATTGGTTCTTACAGATTTACATTGAATTTACAGTTATATCCAGTTGCATTTTGATGTGTCATCATTTATTAAATTGCGAAATTATAAATGTAATCATGAAATTGTATAGTGTTATATCAAAAGTCTCTGAGGTCAAATGAGTTTGTGCTGGACACAGACTGTCACAAGACAGAAACTAAAATGTCAAGAGTTTAAATTGATGACAGTAGACAAAATAGGGCACTTTTGCTTCCTGTTTCTCCGAAGTTTTTTTCAGAAAAGTGATGATGTGGCGAAAAGGACCAGGACCCGAGACTGAGATCTGGTCTGGACTGACGTCGCCTGACGTAGCCACGCCCGCTTCTGCACATTTTATGTGAATTTTCATGTGAATAATTTGAGTCAGTTTTTGAGCAGGGTTGGATAGACAGAGGTCATCACAGAGCACCTGGTTGATCTCTCTTTCTCATAGTTTAGGGACAGTTACCTTAAGCTCAGCTCATAGGATTAGATCAGGGTTAGTTAGGAGCTTTTTGAGTTTTGTATTTAATTGTGAAGATAATTAAATATTATAACTTTTGGAATCTTGCCTCTCATTTCTCTTTATCAAATAAAAGACACGTCCAAGTCTATTTTTAGACAATCATTTCTTCAAGACACTAATACATGTGTCTAAACTCACATAAACCTGCTTTAATCCAAATCACTGCGTCTGACTAACACGGGCCAAAGCCATAGCCACTGCACAGCGAAAGTGGAATGCTCACGTTTTGTGGTCAACTGTCTCACAGTCCGGACAAAAGTGGTCAGCAGGTGTCAGCAGGTGTCAGCAGGTGGTCAGGAGCGGTCAGTGGTCAGCAGTTGTCTCCTGGTGGAAGAAATCGTCGAGTGAAGTTTCACCAAATGACTTTGTGTCGCAGCCAAAGTTTTGCGCAGATGCACTGATTCAAAAGATGCACTGTTTAAAAAAAAAAAAAAAAAACACTGCCCCTAGCAACAGATGCCCTTAGCAACGCGCACCTGACAACAAGAGGCACGTGCGCTGTGTATTTATTTTCATTGAGACGTAATGAGAAATGTTGTTACGCTCAACAAACTGTGTCCATCATAAGCAGAGAACGCCGCGCCTTATGCGCTTCTCCAGCTGTGCACTAGTCTTTTCCGCCTTCAGGCCTCAAGTTACAGACCATTCAGTACATGTTCTTAATAATTAAATCATAACCAGGGTATACAAGCTGCACAATGTATTTTTTTAGTGTGTGTTACTTTGTCTTTACCAATCCCAGAAATCTTGATTAAATAAACTTATTGGCATTAGTTATTTTATACATAGTTCCCACAGACCAATGAATGTCACATGACCTCCTCGGAGACGCCATCTTTGATGGCACGCTGCTGTGTTTGTGCATTCCATTAAACAGAAGAATGAGAATAAATGTAGATATTCAAACGCAAATTGGAAAAAAAGGGCAACTTTTGAGCAAATAATTGTATATTAATACAATGGCACCACAGTTTAACGTGCTACGGACATGTTTTACATATTTGATCAAATTATGCAGCAAAAATTAACAAGCAATGCAAACATTTCTCAAAAACTTTAGATTTAATACCAGTTGGAGCTCCATTTAACTATTTTAATTATATTAACAATTAATTTAATTAATGCTAATGCCACACGGACACTCTGGATTGCTGTTATTGTTTATTTCCGCGTTTTTGACCGTATGTTTTGGTGAATGGTGGGCAACTGATTTTTCCAGGCGTAAAGAGCAGTTTATTTTATGACACAGATCTTTTTACAGAAGCAATGCTGTTTGTGAACATTGTTTTAGCCCACCATAGAACTATTATTATCTATTTAATACATTTACGTTGCCCTCGAGAGCCTCGGACCCGACACCGATCCTCCTCATAATGAAGTAATCTAACGCTAAATAATGAAACTCTCAAGTTACCAGATATCAGCATACACAAGTTAGTACTGAGTAAATTACGTCTGTCAACACATTATAAGATACGATACGCACCTGACACAAAGTGCTCCGAGCATATTCTTGCGTGTTTTGAGTTTCTTGCCTGTTTATCTTCGCAAGCCATAACCTCCGTGGTTGTTCTGACAAAAGCTTAGTCTTCTCACATTCATGAAGTCTAATGATGGGTATACTGTAAAATCCAAGTTTAACGGAACCTCTGGCACGATTTGAACATCCATTGACCCAGCAGGAGATGACCATTTTCAACTTTATCACGACATTAACACGTTTCAGCTTCTTTTTCTATTGTTTTGCCCACAGCATGCCAACACAAATGGCGCCGGGTCGGCAAATCCCCGTATGTAGTGACGTCATGTGGGAACTATGTATAGTATTATGTGTGAATTGTGTGATATATTGTATAGGTAATTAAATAGTTAGTAAATTCACTAAAATGTAACAATATATTGTTACGGCCGGCTCAGGGCCACAACAAATAGGGAGACGAGACGGGGGTAAAAAGTGCACAAGTATATTTAATAATAACAAAAGGCGAGTATGACATTAACAAAAACAAGGTATGAGGTGTGAGCATGTTGTAATCAGTAGTGTGGTGCAGGTGTGTGAGTGCAATGAAAGCCGGTGTGTGGTGTGCAGTGAATGTGGTGCATAAACCAAAAGACAAACTCAAATGTGCAAACAAAGGAAGAGCACCAGGGGAGGACCAAACAAGACAGCAGTGCCGGGGAGAGTGAGCAGCTCTCAGCTCCCAGCTGAAGAAGGTCCATTGATGAGGAGGCGTGGCATGGTGCAGGGGTGTACCTGCACAGAGGAGGAGGCGGCAGAGAAGGCAGGCCAACACAGACAGCACCCTCTCCTGGACACTAAGGGCCTGGCCCGTAACACCCCCCCCCCTACAAGAAAGGGACCCAACCGGGCCCTTCATAAGACCCAGAGTAAACTAAAAAAACGTACTCTTAGCAGCTCAAAGGATGTTCCAGCCACAGGGCCACTGGGCCTCTCAAACGTTTGGAAGAGACTTTAAGTGGTGTCAAGCACTGTACCTCCAAAATACAGTTGGCCCTGGGACTTTGGGTCTCCACCGTGCCGTCCCAGTGTCGCTTGCACGGTGGACTGAAGCACCCACGCTTCCACCAGAACGGACCTGGCACCAGCTTCCAGACCAGTCCCTGTAGTCTCCAGCTGCCTCATCCGAGCTTGGCACCGGCAAATACCACGAAGCCCTGCCAGAGTGAGAAGGAACAGCACAACCACAACACACTGGCCTCCCCTCTCCAGCAGCTTCCATTCCCCAGGATGCCACAAGCGTCGTGACTTAGCATCAAAGCCAGCCCTCTGAATAGGACTCGTCACAAAGACCTTAGAGCCGATCGTCACTTTGGCCTTTTGCTCTAGACCTGACAGTGGAATGACAGACGAAAATAAACAGCTATGGCCACAAGTGTTCCTGACCCCACTATGGCTGCTCTGGTCATGACAGCTCTGTAACACAGCATCACAACGTTTTAAAGAACCCACCACCGGGTGCACAGGATCTCCCACTGATCGCTCCAAAGCAAAAGAGTTCTGCTCCACCAACAGGACGTCGAGTGTCACTGAAGATGGAAGAACTGCCACTGAAACATCGTTAGGAACACAAACACAATTTTCCTCTTCCACCAGGTCGTCAGGTGTCATTGACCAAGGAAGAACCGGCACAGGGAATTCATTGCCAGAAAGATCTTCCTCACTTTCAGATCCCACTCGTTTTGAACGTGTATCCATACAAACAGTAACTCCCTCCGGAAAATGCCTCTCAATTTCAGGGTTACTACATACCATAGGCGAATCAGACACCTGGACTGGAGGAGGCACATCAGCCCAGACCCGGCTACCTGCAATATCATTGCCCAAGATCACAGTGGCGCCATCTACTGGCAATGCTGGGTGCACTCCCATAGACTCCTCACCCTGGACAAAATCACAATGCAGAACTGTATCACATGGAACCTCCATTACTTTTAAAGCTATTCCCACAACTGGAAACTCAGCCTGTGAACTGCAAAGCTTTCGTTTCCGGACCCCCTCCATTGAAGCTTGTTCCACGTTTCAAGTCACTAAGTTCCTCCTTTTTTTGTTCAGTTCTAGGACTACACTGCATCTCCTGTCTCTTCAAATAGAGTTTCTGCCGCTCGATGTCAAGTGTAGCCAATTCAACCTCCTGCCTCATTATCTCACGTTCTCTCTCTGCCTCTACTTGGACCAACAGTAGCTCTTTCTGCTGCTCAAAAGTTAAACCCACAGGTGAAACCAAAATGCCCATTCCAAATAATATTTTCTTCAAATTGTCCTCAAGAACACTCCTCAAGACAGTTGAATCCCCAATAAAAACTTTGTAAAACTCTGCAATCGCAATTAACTGCCTTTTAGTGCAGAGCTTCAAATCACTCTCAAATGGTTCCTCCAGAAATTCCTCAACCACATCATCCATGATAAAAACAAAGACCCCCCAGAAGCTTAAGTGATAAACCACCAATGTGCCCTATAAAGTCAAGGATACCCCGCTAACTACCTACCCAAAAGCTTACTACCTCAAACCCTAGTCTTCGGGAAGCGTGGCGATGGGTTTTTATGCGCCAGATACCGATGGTACACAAGACGACCAAGTTGGCAATCAAGTGACCACGGCGCGCTCCCGAGCCGATGTAGGGAAAAGGGGAAATGGAAGCTACGACCCGCTCTTAACTTCCACACTAAAAGCCCCCCAAAAAAATGCAGTGAACCCACTGTTGGGAAACACCGCTAAGCCTACCAGGGATTCCTCAACTTCAACTTGTAGCACACATTACAATTTATACACTTACCTTCTGGGTCTTTACAAACAGCCACGGCTGACCAAACTAGGATGAAGTTTTTGACCTGCTCTCAAACAGTACAAAAACCTGAAGACCAAAAAATACCTCCCGCACGTCTCCTACAAAGCGCACTAACCATAATGACGTCACAGGGAAAACCCCCACTGAGCCGTCACACCAAACTCCAGGTACAGCTCAATTCAAAATGGCACTTAACCAACAAACAAACAAGAGCTGACACAAGACTAAACAAAAGCGCTCTCAAACAAAACCAGTTTACCAAAAAATATCACAGATAACACAAAATGATATTTACCTCAAACAAATGCGGGTTTTTTAGGACGGAGCCCCCAACTTGTTACGGCCGGCTCAGGGCCACAACAAATAGGGAGACGAGACGGGGGTAAAAAGTGCACAAGTATATTTAATAATAACAAAAGGCGAGTATGACATTAACAAAAACAAGGTATGAGGTGTGAGCATGTTGTAATCAGTAGTGTGGTGCAGGTGTGTGAGTGCAATGAAAGCCGGTGTGTGGTGTGCAGTGAATGTGGTGCATAAACCAAAAGACAAACTCAAATGTGCAAACAAAGGAAGAGCACCAGGGGAGGACCAAACAAGACAGCAGTGCCGGGGAGAGTGAGCAGCTCTCAGCTCCCAGCTGAAGAAGGTCCATTGATGAGGAGGCGTGGCATGGTGCAGGGGTGTACCTGCACAGAGGAGGAGGCGGCAGAGAAGGCAGGCCAACACAGACAGCACCCTCTCCTGGACACTAAGGGCCTGGCCCGTAACAATATCAACAAATACAATACAAAAAAGATGGAGTGAGCCTCTCTAGTTGTTTTAATAAAAATATTTATTTCTGTGGAAGTTGTTTTTGAATTCAAAAGAACTCAAATAGAAGGATCCCACAATTCCCAGAACTCCTGAAGTGACAATAATCGTAACAAATTAACTGCGATCAGAGTTTTCTGAAGGTGAGGTAACGAGTGACAACATCGTTCTCTGGCCTATGTTTCCCTCTTGTGGTGAAACAGTGACAGTGCATAGTCCTGTTCAAAGCAGTGAAACATAACAGCATCTTGTTTTACATTCGGTGTTCAGTGATAAACCCGCGCTTCGTTCACAGGGAAGTTTTAGTGGCTGTTTTCTTGGATATTGAGAAAGCATATGACATGTTGTGGAAAGAGGGCTTGGTTATAAAATTGCATAATGCAGGAAATAGAGGGCGGATGTTGAATTGGGTTAGGAACTTTCTTCAACACAGAGGTTTTCAGGTGAGGGTGGGAAGCTCTTTATCTAATGAGACATTGATCGATAATAAGACCCCGCAGGGGAGTGTGATCAGTCCTGTTTGGTTCAATATTATGGTCAATGATATGTTTGATGAGGTTGGACCTGGGTTTGGAACATCCCTGTTTGCAGATGACGGGGCTGTCTGGAAGCGAGGGCGCAATGTAGATCATGTCATGGCTCAAGTTCAAGAGAGATTGCATAAGATTGTTGGTTGGGGACAGACATGGGGTTTTAAGATTTCGATTGATAAAACTAAATATGTAGTGTTCGGTAATAGAACAGTTAAAGATCATGGTTTGAACGTGTATGGGCAACCATTTGAGAGGGTCAAGTTTTTTTTAACCCCTTAAGGATCACCCTCCCTGTACAGGGAGGATTCAGATATTTTTCATTTAACTGCATCAGTATTATAACTTAACTTGTGTCAATATAGTCAAGCTATACCTCTTTTGAAAGCTTATTCCCACCTCTAAATGCATATTATGTTCAAATAAACATTAAATATCAACAAAAGTAAGTATTTGTAGTCAAACTGTATACATATAAAAAAATATATATTGTCCTTTCTTACCTTTTCATGCTAATATTCTGGGCCAAATCACGTCTAATCCACACATGTATGCATTCATTTTGTCCGGGAGGGTCTAGAGAATAATTATATCCAGTTGTTTTTTCTTCAAAGTCATCCTTATAGTAGATATCCACTTGTAACGACACATTTGAGTTTTGAAAGTTGCCCGAACAAAAATAAAACCGCGTCTTTGCGCACTGTCTGAAGACGCCATTGTTTTTTTTACCCAGAATCACTGGGTATGTTCGTCTTCCTCTCAGTCTTCCCTTCAAAACAAGCCCTCACTCGGACTTCTCAGTGCTATGGTTTGGGGGGTACAACAAGTTGACGAAAACAAGCGCACCAAACTTCAGCCCTCCAGGCATTTACCTTTCTGTGCGTCATGACAGCATTGTCTTGACTACCATTGGCCAATTTGGATGTCAATCAAACCATCTTGTAGCCAATAATCTCAGGTTTCAGGCGATGTGTCGGACTTCAAGGTTCCTCCCACTGTTCGAGTGTTATTTGAATGCGTAAGAGAGGAAAGCGGAGCATTTTCACGGAGAACACGCGCTATAACTATATAAATAATAGCTTTTCTGTAAACATTTCAAAATCTGGAAAAAAATCCTATTTATAGCAAGAGTAATAGCCAAAAAATGATATAATTTGATTTTTGGTGTAATAATGTTGATAATTTGCATGTAAAACACTTTGGCACAATTGGCACAAAAATGGACCGCTTGTGCCGAATGTGCCCATTAGTCACAAAAAAGCCCCCAGCATCAAAATGGTTTCACCTAAAGGTCTAAAATTTCATACAGTTGTTGCCAACACCACAGACATCTGCTCTGGTGAGTTTGAACAACATATCATAAAGTATGTCTTCAGGAGAACCTTTTGAAATTGCCTTTTTTTTTTCGAGACAAAAAAAACTAACTTTTACTCATGTTTGAGAAGGTGTAGTGCAGACTGTGTCCTTCCTAACAAACTAACATACATTTCCAGAAACTAGAAGGTGTTACCTTTCAAATGAGGTCTCATAACACAAGATCAGACACAAGATGTCCACACAGTAAGCATTTCTAATTGGGTATCATAATTCGAGAAGAAACAGGCGAAATTAGGTGATCCTTAAGGGGTTAATTTATTGGTGTTTTTGATGAGAGGTTTACTTGGAAAAAACTAATTGAGAGTATTGTAAACAAACGTGAAAAGGTGATTAATGTGTTGCGTTTACTTTCAGGAAGTTCATGGGGGGCTTCCAGGGAGACACAGTTAATGATATTCAGGTCAATGGTTAGGTCAAGGTTCGATTATGGAAGTATGTGTTTTGGATCAGCAGCAGTGTCTCATCTTAGATGTTTAAATTGTGTACAGGCAAAAGCACTAAGGGTCTGCTGTGGAGCGCTCCGGTCATCTCCAATTCCAGCCTTACTTATGGATATGGGTGAAAGTCCCCTATCAATCCGGCGCTCAAAGCTAGCTATGCAGTATGTGGTCAATTTAGTAGCTTATCCTAGACATCCTGCCAAGCTGGTGTTGGATGAAGTTTGGGAATGGGGTGCTAAGCCAAAGTATGGACCCTTTGTGTACAATATGAGGAAAGAGATGCAGAGGCTGCGATTGGGTGATGTAGGAGTGGCTCCACATTTGGTATGGACTGATGTGCCTCCCTGGATTCTGCCCATGCCAGAGATAGACATGACTGTAATGAGTCTCGCTAAGGCAGGCTTCAACTACATGGGGTCAGTGAATCAGGCCCTAAGCTGGGAGGGATTTCTACAAATTTATACAGATGGGTCTGAAGATCCAGAGACCAGAAAGACTGGATTTGCGGTTTATGTCCCAGAGCATGGCATCCTGCAATTCAAAAGACTCCCTGATGTCTCTGTGTTTACTGCAGAACTGATGGCAATAATTGCGGCCTTGCAATGGGTAGAGCAAAATAAGCAAGAGAAAACAGTTGTATGTTCAGATTCAGCATCTGTCCT